GCCCCCCCCCCTTCGTTCGGTTCACGGGGCATGGAAATCCCGGTCCAGTACAGTATAGGTATTCGTGCCTATATATAACATTAGCAATTATTATGTAAATACGATAAACGTGGTTGACAAACTTACGCTCGACATTGAAGACGGACGGTCGCGGTTGAAATTCGGGCAAACGGCCGGGGAAAAATAAACGTTGGCACCAAACCCATCTTATATGACAGAAATTTATATTAGCAAAATGAGGCCGTTTAATATGTGTATGTATGTGTGTGTGTGTGTGTGTGTGTGTTTATAATAATAATTTGACCTCGAAAGTAACACGAAAAATCGCGGTATTATTCTGTCACTTATAATATAACTATTATTATACGTTTTAATAATCCGTTTGATATAAAAATATTTGTTTTTTCGCTAGTGGTTTTTTTTTTATTTGTGTCAGAAACATCGTTTCAGAGAAACATTTTGAGAAAAAAATCTAGTATCTGACACGCTTGGGAACCGGCTAAAAAAAGCCGTATGTTATTTTTTTTCCGCCCCTTTCACCTTTCACGCGATAATAAACGATACTATATTAGCTGTTATACCGCCAAAGAGTATGGGTAATATATAATACCGACGACTATAAGATGCCACACGTGATATACGTCTATATACCTAATACTTTTTTCCCAAAATCTTTTATAAGTCCATTATTTATAGACAAGTACCTATCTACACATAGGGTCGACTCTACTCGGTTTCGCAAGTTAAAAGAGTATTAAACCGTCAGACGAAAATTTTTATTTTATCGTCACTTTAAAATTCGTCAATGACAACAGCTCGAATGATTATTATCATGAATTGGAATTGCGCGTGCTACGGAGTTTTTTTAAAAAAAAAAACTTTAAATCGCTCGCCTCAGGCCAAGGGTTTTCGATTAAAGTACGTTTTTCGGTCACTGTAATTCGACAATATAAAATATATCTTAATGTGACGTCTGCAAAAAGACGTAGGCTTACGCTTGAATTTTATAAGTCAATCACAAAATCAAGACTCAAAAGGGCGTCTTAAAAAAGTCAAAACCAACATATTATAATATTTTAGATGACACTAGTTTTTGGAACTTTTAGATTTTGAGTGAAGCGAAGAAGCTTAAGGTTTTACAAAGATGTTTATATTTTTTTTTGTGAATAACTTTTCTACCAGCAATTTTGTTCCAATTTATGATGATAGCAATTTTTCTAAAAAGGAATTTGACTAGGGAGGTATTTTAAGGATGTCAGTTTTCGATTATCTCAAGTTTCTAGTTAATGTAAAAAACCAGGAAAAAACATGAAAAACGTAGAAAAATCGGAAAAGCGGTACATTAAACAAATATCATTAAAGATAATATATAACGTCATTTAATTATTTTACTATAATATGTCATATATTGTTGACAAAGCATCACTATCAACAGAACTCCGATCAGAATCGTTTTTTTTTTCGTTAGCAATGGTTAATCGTTGCTAACAAATATACATTAAATTACTTATAACAGTGGCTGCACCCGTTCCCATTATCTTAGGACGTCTTTTTCACTAATTTTTCTCGCAATTTTAATGTTTATGTGGGAAAATAACTATAAAAAAAATGTAATTTTTGTCAAGTCCATTTTAATCCTATGTATCAAACATTATTCAAGTCAATAATATAGTAACGTAATAGTATAGTTAGCGACCTAAATCTATTAAGAGGACATGTCGCACCTATATCACAGTGGCGTAGTTTGGGTCTTCCTTCGGGGGGGATAAAAGGATATTAACATTTGTCAAAGATGTTAAGAAAAATCTAATCGTACAAATGTACTATCCTACAAATGTAATCGAACTAATGTACGCTGTATCACAAATTGTATTTTCACATTTCACGAAAAAAACTTAAAAAAACCTGATACTGAGAATGGGAGCGACCAGTGCTATAGGTGAGAAGTTGAGATGGTAGGATACATAAGGTTATTTGATTTACAAGTAAGCAACCATTATATAAACCATTATTGACGAAAGACAATTCCGAGCGCAGTTTGGTAATACATAATTTAAAGTGCCGTATTTTTTTTTGCTATTTTCGTTTAAATTTGGTTTCAAAACGCTTATTAAAAAAAAAAAAAAAAAATCGCCCGACGATTTTGGACATTTTATAATGTCTAGGTAAGTCTAATACAAGTATTATTACCAAGTTTCAAGTCTCTAAGTGTATTTATAACCGAATTAAAGTGAAAAAACTCTCAAAAATTAAAATTCTTCTCTAAAATGATTAGCAATGATACCGTAAGAAAGTAAATCAAAAAATCAACGAAAAAGGTATCATTTGATTTTTCGATTAAATCATTTTTCTGGTAGAAAATGTCGTCCATTTTTTTTATAAAATAATGAAATCGTGAAACTGTACGTTTTCCTACGTTTTTTCCTATTTAAGTGCTTTTATTTAAATAATAGCGTCGATAATGACATCTTTTAAAGTACCATCCAGATAACTTGAGCTTTCAGAAAAGTTGCTACACGTAAACATCGGAGCAAGTTTACTAGAAAAAAACGTGTCGACAGACTAGAAAAATAAAAATAATAAACCTCTTAGTAAAACTCGCTGCGCTCGGAATCTGAAATATTGACAATGTGGCGTGTTTCACTCTTGATATTTCGCATTTATTTATTGTACGTAACAAATGATTGCAAAAACAAACAAAAAAATCGTCCTAGGATAATAGAAACGGGCGCAGCCACTGTTGTAGGTAATTTATTGTATATCTGTAGGCAACGATTAACTATTGCTAACGAAAAAACGATTCTGAGAGGAGTTCGGTTGATAGTGTTGCTTTGTCAACAGTATAAGTCATATTTTGGCATAATAATAACATACGCATTTTACGTTTTCTTAAATAATATTTGTTTTATATTGTACTTATTTTTCCGTTTTTCCTATATTTATTCCGGTTTTTTCCATTTATCGGGAAAACTCATGAGAAAATCAAAAAGTTACCTCGTTAAAGTACCTGCCCAGTCCTTTTAGGAAAAATGCCTCCATTGTAAATCGGATCAAAATTCCTTGTATACAAGTTGTCCGCAGAAAAAACAAATAAATATAAACGTCATTGTAAAACCAACACATCCCTCGCTCCGTTCAGAATCTAAAAGATCCGGGTTTTAGACCGCTTTTGGGAGTGACGTATTATCCGCGTCACCACCTTCCCCTATCCTTTGAACTCGTCACCGCTGCGTCAAGTGCCGTCTCCGTCTTACAAACGTACGGCTGAACATAGCGAACTACAATTTAGTTCAGCAGGGACAGCATTTGCGCTTTTAGTTTTAATATTTGAATAATAATTGACCTATTGTCGCGCTTAAAGATGTAAGAAATTCGTCTGCGCGGTCACGTCGGTATTTTTAATTTCAAGCGAAATACATAAAAGCGTTTATGAATCGAGACGACGTTTCACGTGCGGTTCATATATCTCGTTTGAAAATTACAAAACACACCGAGGAGGGGGGCGGGGGAACCGACGGCGTAGCCGCACGGGCCATTATATTCTACGCGGCCAATACGTTCTCGTCTTTATACGTTTAAAAATAGATCGATAAGCCGATATACTTTAATATTAAAACTAACGGCACGAAGTTGTCCCCGACGAACGAAAGTATGCTATGTAAGTGGGCACCCTATACAATATGTAATACGTATACCTTTACGATTGTACGCCGCCGCCGGAGACATTATAGGTCCTCATAAATAATTCTAAACGTAACAGTGTATACAATATGTGTATCACTAGTTTCCTATTTTTTTTTTTTCGCCGCTCTCCTGTAAAATATAAAAAATTACCAAATCGGACGTGTTATTGGCGACGTTTGACCCCGTTATGGCCATCGAAATCGTTTGAAACGGTATGCCACAGCCGCCGCCACCGCCGCCGTCGCTGGTATGTGTGTGTGTGTGTGTGTGTGTGTGTAGAGGATACGAATTTTTTGGACGGATAAACGTTAACGTTTATCGTTGTGATATTATTTTCCGTTTTTCCGTCTCGTTTACGAAACAATAACAATCATGGTAATAAAAAACAGAAACGGTTTAACCGGAAAAAAAAAACACACGCACGCACACACAAACACAAAAACTAGTTAATTATCAACGTGTCAGTATAACAGTAATAGAATAATACAATATAGGTACGAGTATATGTCGCGTTAAACATGGTTATTATTAAACGGGCGCTACTAAAACAGCGAATTTTTACTTTTTTTTTTTTAGTTTTTATTTACCGTACACCGCATAGTCTAATTTTTTTTTTGTTTTAAATGCATATGTACATATCGTATTATATTAAAAAACGTTTTTAAAACCACTACGGACATTATCGCGTACAGTGACACCGCGCGGTTCACTCGTAATTTCGAATAATAATATGTATATAAATAAAAGCAAAAAAAGAAAAAGACAAAAAAGGTGGACCGCGTGAAAAATTTTTTTTTTTTTATTTATATATATATATATATAGAATGTGCTTAAACTACAATAATAATTTACACTCCATCGTCATAATTGCGGTTAGTATTATTAATAATTTAAAAATTATAGTTTTAACCTTCGCCATTAAATTATAATTATTATTAAATTATGCGTAAGACAAAAAATGATTTAACACGCTCGGCGTATACGGCCCGGCCATAAAATGGCCACCGAATTAAACGACAAACACTCCGAAACGACGGAACAAGTATAAAAAGTCAGCTCATACCGCTATTAAAATATTATAGATGGACGATTATAAAAAGTATATTATTTAAATTCGTTTTATAAAATATAAATACAATACAAACGCCATCGCCGCTAATAATATGTTACTAAGGTATAGAGTGCGATCGGTTTATCTCGACGAGGTTGTCGTCATTCGAAAACGATATGTTGACATTCACATTTTTGTATAGAAATAAAACAAAAAAATGTGAAATAAACGTTGTTTTTGTGCAATATTTGTTTCGTTGTTTTTATCGAATTACCGCCGAAAACAGAGACTATTGCAGTGTATTGTATGTCCGTCAGAATAATGTATTTTGTTTCTGCTACTTATGGATATTTCAAGTGGCTTCCTCTGGATCAAACGAGCTCGGGAATTTGTGTTGTTTTGTAGGCGGATTGGATCGGTAAAAATTCGCTTGGATTTTATCCTGTTGTTGCCAGAGCTTGGAGGAAGTTGGTCTTTTAGCTTTACACCCATACAGACCCCAAGAATAAAGCCGAGGGGATACAACTGCGCGGTCCAAGTATCGAGCTATTTTGGGGAGTTTAACTTTCCGCCTCCTATAGGAAGCCATTTGTATGCTTAAATTTCACGTTTCCGCTGAAAATACAGGATTTAAAAAACCCCTGCGAACTAAAACTTAATAAAACTCTGGTAACCGTAACTATTAAAAGTATATAAAAAAAAATATTGAAACGGCGATAATTCGACAAAAATTCGACTCTAGTGCTGGACTTCTGCTGCTTATGAGTGTTTCATTTATTAAATATTACGAAAAAATGTCCAACTAACAATAGACTCTTCAACACGGTGAAATATAGAGTAACAAATACATAATTGTAATAATTGCATTATAATCTCCACAATATTGCATTAGTCTTGTGGCATTTTTTCAAGGGGATTTCGTACTCCGTGTCGTGTTTGTTTTGTCATATACTTAGCAGAAACGCTGCTGAAGGTTGACACGGCCGCATCGTCCCCTCAACCCAATGGCCACTCCACCAATCGCCCAAACACGGAACGTTAGATCGTTCAAGTTCAGCAGAAATAGCGACAGAAGTCAAATACCTGGTGTCTCATTGGTAGATCGACCAAGCAAAAGACTCGATTCCCGATCCGGTCGCCTGATTTCCAACACCATTTTCCTGACGAGTCTGGTCGTGTAAGGCCTGTCGGGGTATATGATTGGCTCCAATTTATGGGTCTATATGGTCCGTACAATTTTCTCGCAGCAATTAACGGTTTTTCGTATACCTACCGTATATTTTATCACTGGAAAATATTAGCCGTCTCTAGGTTTCTTATAATTACGAACAAAAGGGTTTCTGCGCATGTCTTTTTCGGCAGTAAAACGGAGAACTGTGCCGTGGTGGTAGAGAAAAATAATAATTTTGCGGTACTATATAATTTAATCGAGTGATTGCAGTTGTATAACTATTATTATCAGTACTCGAATTGAGGGGGAACGTAGAGGGACGGAGTACCTCAACTAATTTTTCAGAAATGTAAGCGTATTACCATTACTATTTATTTAAGATGGAACGCACGGAACGCAGTGGAGGATACAAGGTACTGTGTCTGGAAAGATTTGATAAGAGACTATACCTATAAAATTATTCAGTGGAATTTCTTACCTCTACGATTATTTTTCATTTAATAAAAAAATTAAATAATACAGAAGCAGCAAATGTAACGGTTACAAGTTTTCCCGGCGTTTTTTTAAGAGGTTTCCTCATAATTTCTTAATTCTATAAAGACAACCAAAACATAACCTCCTAATTGCACCAAACAGACAACAATTTTTACTAGGAACCACCGCCTCTAAAGTTGATAATTGGAGCATGATTTCTGGTAGAAAAGTCGTTCGCATACAGAAAAAGAACAAACACATCATCATAATAAAAACATAGTAGTAACTATGATATTAGAATCTATAATTAATGATATCTACTACAATAAGTACTGTATAAGCAAAAGTTAGCCTGCAGTAGGTAGTGTTTGTTTTCGAAAATTATGAATTGCTGAATTATGTTCAAAAATCGGTGTGGGAGGTGTGGAGGGCTGAGGTTCACACGGGTTGGTTTGAGTTCAATAATTACAAGGGACGCTAATTTTTTTTTTATATTTTATAATCCCTCTTCTTTTATTTTATCTGTTATTCTTTTATTATTATTTTTTTAAAAAAATGGATGTAGAAATAAAGAAATAAAAATCATATCGGTATCGTTTAAAGAACAATCGCTCTGTATAATAATTATTACAGTGCATCTAAATTGCTAGCGCGTAATCGTATAACAAACGGAATTTCGTTCGAAATAGTTTTATACGAATTGTTTAACTCGGTTAAAACGATGTCCACTAGAGCGATGATATTCGATTTTGTAATAATTTCGCCTTTCCTATCGACGACAGGGAACATTTATTAGTTCTGCGTCTCAGAGTTATAAAAAATAATTGCAGCTATACGAAAGTCTCTCGTTTATTACTGTCCCGTCTTAATCGATTATGTATAGTAAACCAAGCGGGAACACACGTCGTGCCATTTGTTTTGAAACGGACGTTAAAAATGAGCAGCACCGAAAATACAAGAGTTTCATATTATAATATACGTCTTTAAGAGATTTACCCGACATTTTCCATTAGATTCCAACACTGTTTAATACACGGCGGCGTTGTGTTTAGAGGCATTTTATTCGCGAAGTCTTACAAGTTATGCTGCTATTATATAATAATAATGTAGTCTCCCTTTTAACGAAACGCGTTTAATATATTTCGACGTTTTTTAAAGGTGTTTTCTACCCCCAATCTTCTCAACGATAAAAACTCGACATTGAAAAATAGCGTGTTATCATATAGATCAGACACGGAATCATCTTTTTTTTTTTTTTTTTGAAAAACCATTGAAAAGTCTCATTCAAGATATAACGTTTCAATACGATAATGATACGACAAGAACATCCGGTCCTTTTTAAACACATCTGTGCGGCCGCAAAGCAGTTTAACGGTAAACAAATAAAATTAAATCATATCAAACGTTTTCACCCTCGCAATGAACCGTATATATGTGTATGAAAAACGCCTATTTTCAACACCGTGGATTTGAAAAGCCTTACATTTTTTTCCTTCCGAGAAATGTTTAGTTGTATGATATTCGTCTCGAGAGTTTCTCGAAGTTTACATGCGAAATATCAACAATTGTACTTCGGTTTTTTTTCCCGTACGATTTGTTTAGTTATTTTTTTTTCGTTTTAAACAATTTTTCGGACGAAAAAACCGGCACGGTTGTAGAGAAATATTTTTTCTACATTATAATATATATTGGAGCGTAGGGATTAAAACTTTTAATGGAAATCGAGGGGCCGTCCCGCCCACCGAATCTTTGTACCTGTGTACATATTTTATACTATAATATATAATATATACAATATGCATAGGTACTCCCCTCTATTCCCCGTTTTACTGACAGGCTTTCACGTGGGCCGCGAGTGTTTTAAAACTCCTCCCGCCCGTGACGTGTTCTGAACCGTGGCGGGGGCGAAAATGTTATGGGGATGATGGATATATATAGCCGGGAGAGGGTTGGATGTTTGAGCGAAAAATCGTCGAGATTAATGAACGCGGGCGGGTTAACGTGACTAGCGTATAACGCAGTTGCAGCGCGAACATATTTTTTTTATTTTTTTTTTTTACTAAATCGCGAGGAAAATTACAAAAAAATTTGACGCCGACAAACGTCGCGTCACCCGTTCGTATAATATTAAGTGCGCGACATTCTTTTTGACGTTGGAAATAAAAAACAAAAATACATTCGGGTACCCAAACGTCTTCAAAAATTCCGTAAAAACAACATTTTTGTTTATACAGCGAAAGGGTGATTTTTTTTTTATGAATATAATTAACTATGACAATACATAACTCTTTCGATTCGACGACGGGCGATATAAAACCGTAACTAAAAAAGCCGATCATTTGAGGAAGGTCCGAAATGGAGAAATGAACAAAAAAATGTCAATATCGCTCATGGGTAGTGAACACCGAGGTCGTAAATCATTGCAAATAAAAACAATTGTGTTCTGAGTTGTCAAAATAACGCAGAATTCAACCTAAGTATAATAATAAATTGTTGGAAATTCTGTATAATGTTTTAGATAATGAACCGACGCACAGAATATCGGAATGATAGCACTTTTTCTGAAAGAAAGCCTGACTGGGAAAGTACTTTATCGATTTTCCCAGAAGTTTTCCCGATAAATGGGAAAAATCGGTACAATGTTAAACAGATATTATTTAAAAAAAAAAATATATAATGCATATTCAATTATTTTATCATAATGCGACATGTATACACTGTTGACAAAACATCACTATCAAATGAACTGCGCTCAGAATCGTTTTTTCGTTAACAATGGTTTATCGTTGCTTGCGGATAAACATTAAATTACCTCATAACAGTTTCCATTATCCTAGATCGTCTTTTTTTAGATTTATATAGTATTTTGAGCGTTCCCAATCCATGTACCGTGCGTGAATTGTTTAAATCATTAATCGTTATTTTGTTAATACCGTCATTGATTATAAAGATGTATTAGTTGTTTATAATCAATGATACCACGAATAAAATTACGATAATTATTTCGGCTGCAATTATGTTGTGTAATTATGTTGCCGCGTCCCTATGTTCAGAAACGCGGCGATCAATCGCGCGAAATAAAATACATTTTAATTCGGCGATTAATCACCTAATATATAAGCCACTTAAATGGTTTTACTATGTGAAAATTTCAAGTCGAGGCTTAAGACCCGATTAAACCATTTACTTTGAATAATGAACTACCTGAGCATTTCATATTTATTATCTTTGGAGTGTGCAACAATTAACGTTGTCGGAAATCTTCGGGTCAGAAAGTCGTTAAATAACGTCTCTAAGTATCAGCTGAATACTATTTGCTAGTAGAACACGGGCACACACGGGTAATATTATAAGCATACATACTAATTGGGTTGTTTTCTGATTGAAAAATTTTAGTAAAAAAAAAAAAAAAATAGAAAAATAATGAATATTATTCACGACAATGGCATATAATTTAATAATATATAGAAATAATATTTATTATTATTTTTTTTTTTTTTATTTATATTAGCCAGCACTTACTTATATATTGAGTCTGTTTCCTGACATCCTGACGTTACTCCTTAAACACGCGTTTTCATACGGTTCAGTGTAAAAAAAAAAAAAAAAAACGTTCTTTCGGGTGTGGAAGATATAACCGCGAGAAACGTAATCAACACTCAAATCGTAAAATAATGTGCGCACCATAAACGCGGCCCGTGGCGGACGGCGTTATACGTTCCCCTCCCTCCAGCTACGCTTCCGATTGTTATGTTCAATGGCTAAATATATGGGTATGATCACAATTGTTTATTCCATAGCTTTTCACGGAGAGAAAACTCAGCTGACAGTGAAATATTGTATTACCAGCTAGATTGAAATAAGGCGGAAATCACAGCCAGCAGCGGCCATCGCACCTGCGTATCAAAACAAAAATTGAGAACATACACCCATACATTTAGCCATGATTGTATTCGTTGGTATTGTGACTTTTTCAAACGCAATACAAAACCGAACCGACAAACAAATAATAAAATATCGATTTCATATTGCTGCTTTAAACGTGATATTATTCATATTGCACCGTATGTGCGAATATACGTGCATACGTATAGAGGCGTACAACCGCGTACAGTACTGTATAATCATATACCTACGCAGGTATTATAGCGCGCAATTGATTACGGTCGGTTAGCCGGCATCTTTTTAATTGCGAGGAGGGGGGGGAGGGGAAATTCGGCGTATACCTCGTAGGTACCTAAGTTTCCGGCGTAAAACACCGGCTCTTCGTCAATATGCCGGAACCGTCTACAAAGTTTCGAAACTATTCCGAAAGAACCCGGCAACGGCTGCGCCCGGGGAAAAATCCTCGAGCCCCGCGCCTATAAACCTGTAGCCGTATAGTGCCACTCAAACGGTCGGTCTCGCGAAACTATTACCCATATCTATACGCTCGTATATTGGTACATAGGTCTTCTATAACTATTTTCTAATCCGCGCGGGAAATAATTCGCCGGAAAAACAACTAAACGAACCGCGGAGGAACATTCGATTTTGCCGATCGGAAAACACGTAGATACACGAGTGTGTAGAGGTATTACTCGTATTATATTATAGACGCGGGTAAATTCGGTCGGTACGAACAAATTCCAGGAAAGAGAAAAAAATAAGACATTAATCGACGACCGGACACGGCGATTCGCCGGAACGGGGTTAAAAATAGGTGAAGTTTATTGTCAGGCGCGTCACCCCGGCACGACAATTTCGGGTGCAGTCGATTCGGGCCGATTTATTTTTTTTTAAACGCGCTTGTACTTTGTACCGAAATAAAAATGATATAAATACAATTCGCACCATTTCAGGTATAGTAAGGAACAGGCTGATTGTAATTTGCACCAAATCGATTGTTCTTCCGATATAGTATCCACGTACTAGTTTCGATAGTGGGGCGAACAATATATTGCAATATGAGAAGCTAAAGACACAGAATAAATATTCCGTTTCGATTTTGAGTAGTTATTTCACTTATCTATGTTTACACCGTTTTACGGTATAGGTCAGTATTGACTTATAAAAGTTACCTTATAACAATAATATACATGACAGATATTGCATTATTTTAGGCAAACATATAATTTAACATTTACAAACAAAAAGTCGGAAGGACTAAAGGTTAGGTAAGTGTTTGTCGACATAATAAATAACGCGATTACGGCGGATAAACGAACGTCAAACATTGAAATGATTACCAGGTAAAGTGGCGGGTAGTTAGAAGTCTCAGGAATAAAACAAACACCGTTATAAAATCAATACATTTCTCGCTCCGCTCAGAATCCAATATCATTTTAAGTGAGAAAATTAAATAAATATAAAAATTTATGAAAATTTAATAATATCAATCAAATAATGTAATTCCTTTATTATTATTTTTTTTTTATAAAAACAACTCTATAAAACGAGTGTTTATTAATAAAATCATTTGGGATTAATTCGTTCTCATTAGAAACAGAACGTTGTAAAGATAAACTTATTTTAAGGATAACAAAAACTTTTGGATTTTGAAAAACACTATAGTATAGGCCGGCTAAAATTTTCTTTTATACAACTCGAATAAACACTTGGCAATCGAATACATAGGTACTCATTTCGGTGCAAACTACAAACACTATTTTCAACTACCTACGGCAGCGGTGCAAATCGCATACATCTGTTTTGGTGAAAATTACCAAAATTGTAACTATAAGACCATCTGGTATAATGCAATATATTATATGTAACAATTTGTAACCGCAAAAAAAACAAAAAAAAAAAAAAATAGATATAATTGCGATAAAACTACAGAAAATCCGGTTTTCTAGTTACGGTGCTGGGAAATGAATAATTAATTCATTACTATATTCTCATAAAATGTCAGGTTGACATCTCCGTTTTTTTTACGACTACATATCACCTTTTCATAAACTGAAATCGTGTGCTAACTTTATATTCTTATAAGTTGTTTGTTTTTGAGTTATTTATACTCGTAGCATTTTACAAAATAGATACCTACGTCAAGTTTTCGAATAGTTTTTCCGGTGATTGTGACTGCCGACATTATAGGATAGTCACATTGATGTTCATATCGGGGAGTTATTTTATCACCCGCAATAGTACATTGTTAAGTATTGTATTGTATTGTAGTTCGTGATTTTTTTTTTCATTTACACAATGCCGATCGGTTTTGAAGTCGACATTTTCATTCTTCATAAGCGGTGGTGCCAGGGTAACATTTGTCTAGCACCGCGACTAGATAACCCGATTTTCTCTAGAGTTTTCGACGGATAACGCGCCTTTTATTGTCGACTGTTTATAATCATTATTATTAAAACGCAAAATAAAGAAAGAAAAAAAAAATCAAAACAGAAAATATGTTTGAAATTTGAAAATCGGTGTATTTTTTCGCGTTACATATATTTGTATTAAAGTAATAACTGGTTACGAATGAGGGCACACACTTGAATTATCTCGCATTTGAATAGGTATCGAATTGCTATTTCCTGTGAATTGATTCCGGATTTTAGAAAAAAGACATTCGCTCGAATTCGCCTTCCAATCTTTTTCCTACTAGAATTACATATATAAAAAAAATCGGCTGTTATAACAATCGATTTTGCATGTAAATTATTTATAACGCTATGTATGGTGTTTAATCAGCTTAATGGCATGAAAAGAAATTGGGCGGATTTAAACATTTAAATATACTTAAAACCACAAGTAATACAATATTAACACACTTCGCACGATGGGTGGGCCACTGTTGTACACTGTTATTTATTTCCGATCGGCATTGATAAATCGGCGCGATGGCTGATGGATATGATGCTGGTTACATGGATGTCCATAAGAGAGCGGGGAATGGGAGATATATGCCCCGACTAGTTTTCCCGTATTTAAGTACAAAGGACAACAAGTAACCAGTTTGTCAAAAAATTATTCAAAAATAATAATATATCATTGAAAAATACAATTTAAAATATAATATAAACTGTCCCTCCCCCCTTGGGGTTTTTGACGGGGCTTGGATTCATGACGGCAGGCGATTCGAGTATATTATGCGTGTATACCTACATAGTCGAATAGTTGTACTCAGGGCGCAAGATTTAAAATGGACATATGTTTTGAGAAAAATTCGCGATTAATTATTAAATGTGATTTTTTTTTCTTTTCTGCTTATTAGATACCAACACTTACAGGACATATGCTCCGAGGCACGCGAAAAATCTCAGTTTAAAATCAATCGCCGGGCGCCCATTGTGAATTTAGCGGTCCAGTAAGAAAATTAGAGCTGGATAGTAAATCAATTTTTTCAACGAGTTTAAAAGCCATCCTAAAATAGACGGACATACTACACACCAGTGGGTCACCTAACCGTGAGAAATTGGGGGGGGAAGGATGTAGAGGAGAATTTGTTGCTAACGAAAAACGATTCGGAGCGAAGTTCGGTTGTACATGTTTTGAAAGGCTGTATAATATTTATGTTTTTCGTCAAAATTTGATAAAAAAAATTCTTTAAAAAAAAAAAAAATACTAGGTTACACTTATTTTTTTTTATTTTTTAACCATCAAGTACGACTTATAATGAACCTTCTGTCAAATTATCAAGCATTTCTGTTCGGTCTAACAATTTCATCCGTAGAGTACTTACCGAGTATCTCTAGGAATATTTTTGACTGAATAATAAAAGCATTATTTTTGTAAATTTTCCCGCTTTTCCCAATTATTATGAAAACCGCTTGGAAAATAATAACAAAAAAAAAATGACCTCTCTAAAGTACCAACTAGATAAAATTTACTTTCAGAAAAGGTGCTACACTTGATGAATCGGAGTAAGATTTTCGGCGGAAAAGTCGTTCGCAGTGTTAAAAATAAAAATAAAATAATAAACATCATTGTAAAACTAATACATTCCTCACTACGCTCCGAATCTAAAACCAATTGGAAAAACAGCGAAAGTGCGAAATAAACGTTTCGCTTTCAAAACTAACAAGTAATAATACCTGAAAAGAGACGAAAACGGAATTTCTCGAAATTTTACAGTTCGATTATTGTACGAGCAGGTACAATACACTGTCATCCAGCTATCCGATTTCACGTTTAAATCTCGTATGTTATGCGCTAAGAGTAAATAAAATGACCCGAAAATGGCGGACAGAGTGAAAAAAAAAAATCCTCCGCCGTAAAATACAGTGAAAATCGGTGAAAATTCCAAACGTTCCGTGAACGGAATATTCGTTCTTTGGAAATGGGCGACTGTATTGCACGTATTATAATGAAATAAAAAAAAAATTACTACGCAAATGCGTCGAGAGTTTCGGGGCCCTAATAATAATTATTATCGTTGCCGTCGTACACTGCCGCGTACGAACCGAACGGACGGTCCTCGGAATGAAACGCGGTTTTAAAAATAATCCGCCGAGCGAGCGCTGGCGGCGGCGACGGCGGCGGCGGCGACGGCGGTGGTGACGACTACGACCAAACGGTTTTCGAACGGGATTATATATAAAAAAAAAAAAAAAAATTAATAAAATCCACGAAAATTCGGCGGTTTCTTTATCTCGCGCGCGCGTTTCCGAGATCCGCCGTCCACCTCGACGTTTGGGCCTCGTGTCCGGGATGCTTGCGCGCCCGAGTGCCGAGAGCACGGCGATCTCGTTTTACGCGTAGGAGAACGAGAAGAAAAAAAAAACCCCGGAATACTCGGCATATTATTATACGGTGGGTCGTTTGCGATTTTTCGTGGGTCCTAAACTTGGTCGCGGTTTCGTCGGTTTTCCGTAGCTAAAAGAGACGCGGCCGAGGCCACTGCGACCAACCGCAATAGCATGCGGGACGACGAGCAGAGAGCGTTTCCGCACGAATGTCGCCGCGCGTCTCGCGTCCGCGCTCGTATACGTACACCCGAGTGAACAAAATATCGAATGTCAAACTTTCCGCGCGTTTTCGGGAGAGGGGGAGGTAGGTTCGGTAATTTTCGTTCCCCGCCCGCAAAAAACGGACGTTGAAATCGCCGCCGTAAATCCACCGCCCCCCCCTCCCCCATAAATACGCGCCGGGCGGCCGCGACGGCGTTATAAAAACCGCACGTCCGCACGGGACACGCAAGTATAATTTTATCGTAAGCGGTCTCTCGATACGCGCGCGCCGGCGACGTAACCGATTTGGCAACGGCGTCGATCAGGAAGACGGCGGTGGCGGTCTCGTACTCGCGGTACACACTGTATATTTATACACTATTGGGCGAGTGTAACGCGCAACGTAATAATAGTAACGCTAAAAGCGATGGTATTTTACGCGCGGCCGGACGAGCGGAATTAATACGTTTTCGTCGACGGCGTCCGCGAAAATGCCCGCGACCGTTGCACCTGCATGCACTGTTGAAAATGTCCGACATGTTTGCCGACGCGAAATCGTTTATTCCCCCGTCCGACGGCCGTTATCCCCGATCCCGTTTCCCGGGACAGACAAAACCTAACCTAACCCGACCTGACCCCGTCCCGGGGACCTGCGGCACCGCGCGAACGAACAACAATATTCGCCCCTCCGAACCCCTTCCCCCCGCCACCCAATCGGCTAAACGAACGCCTCCGTCCGGAGTCGCCGTAACGCGTGACGCGCCACCTGTTGTAGTGACCGCGGTCGGGCACGCGACCGATTCGACGGCGACGACGACGACGGTCGAGAGCCCGACCCGACACCCGCTAGTGGGTACGACGTCCCGTATTCCCGGGGGGGGGGGTCGGATCGACTCGACCGCTCGACGGCCTAACCGGAGGACCCGACCCCGGCCCGACCGAACGCCGTGGGGTTTCGGGGCCGCGCGCGCGATAGCCGTGCCCGAGCGTCGCTTACCTTCGTGACAGGACGTGGGCCGCAGAACCGACGGCGCGTAACGGACGACCGCGGGGTAGCCGGACGACGACGCGAACACTTGCTGCTGCGGCGTGGTGCCGCCGGGGGTCCGGGCCGGCTGGACGTGCGTGCCGACTGACAACGGGCGAGTACTTTGGCGGGCGCGCGCTCGTTTCCGGTCGCGAGACGGTTTCGACCGGGCCGACGGACACTGGCGGCTACGCGACACGATACGGTAACCCCGGGGACTACGCGCGTACGACTGGCGTTACAACGTCACGGCGACGACGACTGGCGGCCGCGGCGACGGAGGCTGTCCGCGGGACGGTGCCAAAAACCGCCGTACGTCGGCGACGTCCGAAGAAACCGGAGCAGTACGCCGCGGTGCTCGGAGCGCGCGCGTAATGGTATTTCGAACGCCGCGGCGGTGGGGAGACACGCGCCGCCGACGTCGTATAAGCTAAAAATGCACTGGCCGCCGCGTCGTGTGCGCGCCGCCGGATGATACGCGCGTACGCCGCCGCGCAGAGCACCGAGTGTTTATTATTATATTATTATATCGTTGAAGCGCGGCGGCGGCGGCGGCGGCGGCGGGTTATCGACGCGTTCGAGATCGCCCGGCCGCCGATACGTAACGATAATAATATACGCGTATAATGTCCGATGTTATCGTCACCGCGTCCCGTCTCGGCCGCGCGCAGATGTGCGAAAAATAAATCACTTGTATTATTATTATTATCAACGCGCGCGCGCGCGTGCGCGCTCGCGGCACGAACGGCCGCCGGGTCGGGCCGGGCCGAGGAGGCGGACGACGCCGGGATGTCGCGCGCCGCGACGAGGTCGGCGGGCCGGTGGCGCATACGCAGGGGGTCGGAGGCGAGCGCGCGGTCCGATTCGCTCAGATCGGAGCAAAACAAAACGGGCATCGTCCGTTTTTTCGCGCCCGGCCGTCCACTCGAAAAAATGCCTCGGGCACTTAAAGCAGAGCCCCGGTCGCTCCACGCCGTCCTATCGGTACGCCGCTAGTCGGGAGGTCAGGGGTTTTATCCCCGCGCCGTTGGCTTCGAAGTGCCGTTGATCCAAAAACGAAACGCGTAATATATTTCGGCCGACTCGCGGGGATAAGCTGGATGCATCTGTTAGAAATCTGCCTTTTTTTTTTTTTTTCAGAGTCCGACTTTTGAATTACCAATTTATTCCCGCAGTCGAGTCGTATAGGGAAGACCGTAATATCTTACGCGTAAACTCCGCAACGTAATAATCGGGAAAGCAGTTTTCCGAACCGCATTGGTCCGGAACGTAAAACCGCGGAACGCAGAATTACGGAACCGAGTAAAAAACAAACGGTTACCGAATCTCTCGGACCGATGACATTCCGGCTATTTTTATGTTATTTATAGGCGTTTGTAATTTTCGCGCGTTGTATGTGTTTTTATTAGGTTGGTATCTGTTATTAAAATTATATCACTTAGGAGAAATGCTCGACGATCGGAACGCAAGGTGCGTTACAAGTTTTACTTAGCGGTCCGAAATACAATGCCGAGTCTAATGCACGAGTTTATTTCTCATAAGCGTGTTCGGGATCACATTTCGACGGAAATCGTAAAAAGTTACCGCATTTCAAAATATGCGTCTTACATTCGCGCCGAATCGTTTTCCGCCGTCAATGGTTTATCATACAGCAATATAATTAAATATATAATAATATAATTATGTATTATTTAAATTATATAAATTATGAAAATATAATACGATTAAAATAACTTCGCGCTTTCTACCGTCCCGACTCACCACCTACGACAGTGGCTGCAGCCGTCACCATTATCAGCGTTCGTTTGTTCTTCGAGGACTCCGTCAATCAGCGATGTCCGACCGCTTGAACGGGCAACCGAATATTAAGCACGAATAATCTCAATTAAATACATCGTCCAAATTTCGATTAATGTATAAACCACAACACAATGCACAAAATAATCTTGTTATACACGGTAGGCGTGCGCGTAGGTATGCATGTCGGACTTGTTTCCCCGTTATTTAAAGTTGAAAACATCGTGAACGATCACGGGTTGACACTGAGTACACATACTGGTTTGATCAGCATAAATCGCGCTATTTTAAGTGCACGGATGATATCGATATTCGACAATCGTAAAATTTCCATGTGAAAATGCCCGACAAAAAATAGCGCGAATAATTTGTAACAATTTATTTTGTTTGATTCTGAGTGTAGTGAAGAAGCTTATAGTTTTACAAAAATGTGAGTTTTTAATTTTTTTTTTTTTTCACTGTGCGCAGCTTTTCTACGAGGACACTTACTCAGATATTTAGGCGAAGCGCCTTTTCTGGAAGAAAATCGGTGCGGGGAAGATACTTTAGGGAGATTATTTTTCGATTTTATCAGGAGTTGTCTCATCAAAATTAAAAAGCTGAAGGAAAAACAGGAATAAATAAGAAATGTACGTATTAGTAAAAGTATATTGCGGCTTCTTTTTTTTCTGTGAACAACTTCTCTATCAGCAATCTGGGTCCGATTTATAATAACAGCAATTTTTCTGAAAGGAAATTTGACTGGGAAGGTACTTCAGAGAGGTCTTTTTCGATATTCCCAATAGTTTAAACCAGCAAATGTGAAAAAGCGGGATAACACATGGAAAACCTGGAAAAACGCGGGAAAACTAGGGAAATCAGTACAATATTAAAAAAATATTATTAATGAAAATTTATAAAGTCTTTTCTATACGAGGTAAAATTTTAAAAACACTTAAGCCCTTTTAAGGCCTTTTGTAAACATTTTGATATTTTTTTTTTTGAAAATGTGTATACTTGTATAACAATGATGGTGAAGTCAGAATTAAGCGGACGGACTAAACTTCGAAATTATAGCTTTTTGAAGTTTTGATACTATGCGGATATTTTATGTTATGTTAAATTACTCTACATTGTCTTTCTTAAAGTATACTTGTCATGATCTAATGGTTATTTACGCCTAATATGATCCTAGGGGTTCCGAGATCAAACTAGTAAGCCAAAAAAAAAATGTTTGCATTTTTTTTCCTTTTACCTGAACAGGAAAAAAACAAATGCATTTTGTATGTACTCCCAGATCGCTTCCTCGGACTATTTTAATCCCAAAACACCTCTTGGTTAGTTATGCAAACTTTTCTATCGGGATAAAATGTCGGAAAAACGGAAAATGTACAAAATGTAGGTATTAGTATAAAAATATTATGGCCTTTTTTTTTCTGTGTTCAACTATTCTACGAGCAATTTTGCTCCAATTTAAAATTATGGCCCTTTTTATGAACGCAAATCCGACTGGGAAGGTACTTTGTCGATTTTCCCAATAAATGAGAAAAATCGGTACAATTTTAAACAAATATTATTACAAAATATATATAATGCCTATTTAATTATTTTATCATTATATGAAATGTATATATATTGTTGACAAAGCATCACTATCAAATGAACTGCGCTCAGAATCGTTTTTTCGTTAGCAATGGTTGATCGTTGCTTACAGGTATTCATTAAATTATTTATACCAGTGGCTGCACCCGTCTCCATTATCCTAGGACGTCTTCTTTTCTATTTTTTTACTGTGACAAAGATTTGTACCAAAAATCATGCTTCAATACGTAAATTTAGCACATTTTTTGAAACAAAATATTGTTACATTGACTAGATGGTACTTTAAGAAGGGTTTTTTTTTTATTTTCCAAGAAATTTTCAGTTTTCATATTATCATGTAAACCTAAGATAAAACGTTAGTAAAAACGGCAAAATTTATGAAAATAATACTTTTATTATTTTCAATTGTGTTTTTCTTGTAATTTAGTTAAAAATATTTATAGTTATTCGTAAACTTGACATTTGGACAGAAAACTTATATTAGCTATTTCTTGACGTATTCAAAATGTAGGGCAATTTCAAGAAATTTTAATTTTGCAAGTTTTGTATGTAATTTTTTTTTTTTTTTTGGTAGATCATATGTGGATAAATAAGTTAGACCACACAGAAATGATTAAGAATTTAATTTAAGGTTTATTATATTGTTGATCAAACTTGGTTTGCTTGCAAAGCGCTGCTTAAAATAAAAAAACTATTTTGGACTTGATCGTCTAACTTTTATTAATCATTATAATTATTATTATTTTTGTTATTCTTATTATCATTATTTTAATTATTATTTATTTAATGTAAAAAAAATTAATTTAACTTTTAAATTGTACTGTTTTACTGCATTTGTACAATATATTTGCAGTCTTTTAAGCTAATATAAGTTGAAATTGACATCAGACAAAATGGTATTAAGTTTTTATTGACCTGAAATTGTTCACGTAACCCCCCCCCCGCTTATAATTTACTCTTAAGACGCCCCTGTATTTGCCAAAAACACACTAGATAACAGTAATAAGATAACGTTTTTTACTCGCGATTTTACTAACGTCAGTGGTACCTACATCAGTTTAATAGATAAACGAGAGCAGATAGCACGTCTAACTTAAAAAATAGAACAATTTTCTAGTCACTCAGCAATAAATAGGCACTTGAATCTATACTAAATTATATGGCCTCATTCTTCAAGCTAAACAAAAATTTAGCGACTTGTTTTATAGTATTCTGCAGGACGAGTACTGTCCTAGTGAAAACCCGATATTAGATGAAT